GGATAGTGTTGAATTTTGAATTATTACACTAGTCCTAGGCCAATCCCTTCACTTAGGCATTTGCAGTAACAAGTAGTATTGTTGTAGGGTTGAGCTTGGCTTGCCTTTCAATTCCAGAGTCCAATCCCATTGTAGCACTACAAGATTTTATAATATGCGCCACTTATAAAAATCAGCATCTTGGTTCTTATAATATTTGCTATAATGTTATTTTGTAATCATATTTAAACAATAATCCACTTGATTAATTCTTTATATCTAGATTGCTCCTTACAGCTCCTGCATCATCAATGGAATTTTCTGGGATGTTAATCATCCACGATTCCTTAGCAACATGGACACAAAGACCTTACTCAGCCCAGAGATGAGCCCTAAGACTGATGAGTCACCTGGATGTCCCAGATTGCCACACAGACTGCTAGCCATCTGTGACATCACTGCAGACCCAGGGGGCGCTATTGAGTTTGTGTCAGAGTGTACCAGTATTGAAGCTCCGTTCACATTATATGATGCAGACCACAGACATCAGCATTTCAAAAGTTTAAGGTAATTTAAATTATTAATATCGTTCTAATTTTTTTGACACCCATGTAAATTAATTGTTTGTTTTTTGTTTTTGTACATTTTTTTCATAATCTTACAAGCATTAATTAATTAGGCAGTTAATGTGCACATTGAGTAATGCCATTGTCATAGCGACACTGAACATCGCATTCTGCCGTGATATTGGCGCTATATAAATCATTGTTGATTGATTGATTGATTGATTGATTGATATATTTATATATATTATTATTATTAACCGAGGTTGGTTAGTCAGGAATTGTTTAAGTAGACAGTAGACCCATATGGGGTGCCATAGCACCTCATAAACCCATGTCTAATCAAACACTCACAATACTGGCCTACATTTTGGCTAGCAATATGGTGACAACTCGGGTAAAATCTATATATAAGGTATAACAATAATTCTAATGAAAATATAATTATTATTTTTATTTAAAAACGATAAATACACTGCATTAGTACAAACCAAAAATGCTTAAATAAAAACACGTATACAAATTATAAACTTAAAGCAACAATTCGCCACTTTTATACATCACGGTAATTTGAGTTTGCTTGGGTAAAGGTTTTAATGAAGAACAACAACTATTTTTGTCGAGTTTGGTTCCGTCTGGCCTAGGTGAGCCAAACGTTTTGATCTTCTAATATACTGAAAATACTTACGTAGTAAGGCATGTTTTGCTTTTTGGTTCAGAAGATTTCCAAACCTCTTTATTTTGTCTGGTTTGTTTTCCAACTGCTCATCTTTCTCCAAGAAGAAAACCAGATCCCAGATGTTTTTAAAGTCACTATAATGTTGTTGGTAGCTGTTAGCTAAGAACTCTACTTTGTCCTCTTCTACTAATTGCAATGCTCTGAACAGATTCTTTCTATATTGTGTCAATTGCTTTCGCTTAGTGATTGGGACATATTTTTTAATAGCCTTAATTTTATACTCATTTACATGAGATATTGCAGACTTATTTTTCGTCAGTTCGGCAATTTCTGACAAAAGATCTACATTATTACAAGATATTTCATCTATGTCCCAGAGTTCATTAAATAGACCAATTCCATCAATCTTACTACGTGCTAACACCCCAATTACTATGTGATCAAATAAGAGACATCGCAACCAACGGACTCTTATACCAGAAAAGTATCCACTAAGTTTTACGAGAAAATCTCTAAATTTGTCTTCCATACGCCGTGTTGGCATTCTCGTCCTGCAAAAAAAAAAAATAAATAAATAAAATTAAAAAAATGATATACCTACTACTACTACTACTACTACTACTACTACTACTACTACTACTACTACTACTACTAATAATAATAATAATAATAATAATATATTATTATTAACAATAATAATAATAACAATAACTATTGCTGCAAAAAAAAAATTGTTTCCATGAATCGATGAACCCTAAAAAGTTTAGGGTGTTCATTTGAGGGTCATTTAAATTTCAGAGGTCTCAGACCTAAATATCTCTTTTAAAAATCAATGGATATAGGCTAAATGAAACTTTCTGTAATAGTTTGTCAAGATCTAGGAAAGAAATGATTAAATTTTTGTGGCAATCCAATCCAGAGTAGGGTGTGGATATGAAGACCACTCAAAGGAAAACATCCCAGACTAGATATTTCAAATACAGATCAAGTGATTTGAACGAAGCTGTCGGGAAAAGTTTAACCAAGTTACGAGGTAGAAATTGTTATGCGTTGGGGACGATCCAGTTGAGGGTGTAAATGTGAAGGTTATTTCAATTTGTGAGGTCCCAGAGCTATATATCTCTAAGAAAAGTTTTCAATGGGTCTAAATGAAACTTTCTATGATAGTTCGTCCAGATCTAATAAAACAATGATGATATTTTTGTGACGATCCGGAGTAGGGTATGGATGAGGACCATTCAAATGAAAACGCCCTAGACCAAATATTTCAAAAACGGGCCAACTTGTCCGAATGAAACATTCGGGAAAGACTAACCAAGTTACAAGGAAATTATTATAATGTGTTGGGGACGATTCAGGTTAGGGTGTAAATTTGAGGGTCATTTAAATTGTACGTCCCAGTTATCAATAGATAAAAATGGAACTTTGCAGAATAGTTTGAGATGGTCAAATGAAGAAATGATCAAATTTTAGTGACGATCCGCAGTAGGGTGTGGATATGGGGATCATTTAAAGATTTTTTGGTTTTCATTGTTTTTTTTTTAACTTCACAATTTTTTAGTACTACAGTATAAGTATTTTGGTTTTCCCTTTTATCTGAC